ACCAAGACCGTTTCTGCTTCTCACCCACGAGCAGGCTGGGGGTGCACAAGAGCTGGGAGGGGACACAGCCGGGACAGCTGACCCCCACTGCCCAAAGGGCTGTTCCAGACCATACGACACCATCCTCAGCAACAAAAGCTGGGGGAAGAAGGAAGGGGCAGGATACACACAACACGCTCAGAACGATGGCGTTTGCCTTCCCAAGCAGCCATCACCCACGCTGGAGCCCTCCTCTCCCGGAGACACCTGCCAGCAGGACGCAGTGAATAAACTCCCTGGTTTGCTCTGCTTCCGTGCGCAGCTTTGGTTTTCCCATTAAACTGTCCTTGTATTAATCCACGAGTTCTTTGTTTACTCAAACTATCCTTGTATTAATCCATGAGTTTTCTCCCTTTCACCCCTTCAATTCTCTCCCTCATTGCAGCAGGGGGGTGGGTGAAGTGAGCAAGCAGCTGTGTGGGGCTCAGCTGCCAGCTGGGGTTAAGCCACACCACCAGGTCCTCAGCCCTGATGACTCCTTGTCTGCACTGCTTAAGGTGGGCAGACACATTCTCCAGACAAACGAATCCAGCACACACAGCTCCCTAAGTTTCTCTCCCAGAGAACAGTAACATTTATTAAGTCTGTGGCCAGTATTCGTAGTGGGCTAAAAACTAAATCTAGATAAAGCCTGTTGCAACTTTTCCTCAGCTCTAGCTATGAGCTCTAACAGCTGTAAGGTAGCAATGGAAGAACAGTACTCGCAGAAGAGTGAGACAGAGAGGTAAAAAGGGACAGTCTTCACTTCTGAATTTGTCTGTTTGCTAGATTGCCACTCTAAGCTTCCTGAAGCCTGATCTCTTCACTTTCTGAACAAAGGCCTATTCACCTCAGAATCTTTGAAGAACAGGTTTGTCAAAAAAGTTAACCCCTAAGCCTTCTTAGCCTCAGACGTGGCTGGGACTCGGGAACAAGTGACCTAAGAAGTCAACTTGCTACCTTCCACACAAAGTTCGAAGAAAGGCCTATTTGTTAGCTTGTTGGGTCAAACTTGACTGTCCACTGTCTCAAGATGGTCCAAAAAGGAACTATACAACAGCATGCAAGTCAACCTTGGTATTTAACCCCTCCAAGAGTAACTTTCACCATACTACAATCACTAACATTTTAACAAAGGACAAAATCTTTTGTTCAAAGTGGACAAGACTTTGTTTTAAAACATGCAGAAACAAAGTCGTGACTTTTTTCCCCTTTGCCTCAGGAAGATGTGCTTCCTGAGAAACTAAATACAAGCGAGTTTGTATTCACAGCATTCCATCAACCCTCCTCCTATTAAATTATTTGAATAATCACCACTTTGATGGAAGCAGTGCAGGCTATGTCATTTCATATGGAAATCAGATCATGTAGTAGAAAAAAATTATTGCTTAGAATAGCAGATAACAGGCATCTTACATCATCACAGCAACTGAGAGAAATTCAGTTGGGTTTACATTTATGCTTGCAATGTTTATAATGTGTCTAAGTATGACAGAAAAAAGTAGACAGAAGCTTACCACATTTTTGAGTGTCTTTTAATACTTTCATAGTAAAACAAAAAGTTAATTTCATGAACACCTTCTTCATCTGGTCCCCGTAACCACATTGGCAGCTGCACTGAAGCCCCAGGAAGAAGAACAGCATCAGGAAGTGGGACGTGTATTACTTCAGGCTGACCTCCTGTGCCAACCCCAAAGTCTACAGAAGAAGCTGAAGATAGCAGTGCTGTACGCACAGAGGTAGGATCTGTCACAACAGTCTTGTAAGCACTACAGTTTTCAGAAGCTGAAGGACTTAGTGGCGTTAGAACAGCAGTATTTCCACCAAAAGTAAAAAACTCTGGATGCTTGGACACAACCTTCAGTGCGGTAAGAGGACACTTGCTTACGTTCACAAATTCTACATATGCTTTTCTGATTTCTCCACAGAGAAGCCCTGTAGGAAAATTTATAAAGAACACCTGCATGGGAGAGAACAGGAGAAAAGAAAAACCTGAACATTGAGCCAAGTTACGAATGCACACGAAAAGAACCACCAACATGTTTAAACTGTATTGCTCTCTACAGCTTCCTGAGGAGATGTGGGGAGGGAGGTGCTGATCTCTTCTCCCTGGGATCCAGAGACAAGACAGGTGGGAATGGTCCAGAGCTGTGCCAGAGGAGGTTCAGACTGGACATCAGGAAGCATTTCTTTACCGAGAGGGTGGTCAAACACTGGAAGAAGCTTCCTGGAGAGGTGGTTGATGTCCCTAAGCTGTCAATGTTTGAGAGGTATTTGCACAATGCCATTACCACGCTTTGACTTCTGGTCAGCCTTGAATTGGTCTGCCTTCAACTAGCTGACCGTTGTAGGTCCCTTCCAACTGAAATACTCTATTATATTCTACAGATATATATAATACATAATGTATAATATTACATAGAATGTTGTCATAATATATTATGATGTTCACAATATATTATATAATATATAATATTATATAGAATGTTGTCATTAACCAGTTAGACTATTTTAATAACCCTAGTACAGAAAACCACCGTGTTTTAATTAACCAAGTTGAAGAACTATGCTAGACAAATGGCAAGCAAACAGAAAAAAAAGCTTCTTAGCCTGTTCCACCTCACCTTGCAATCTGGCTACAAAAGCTGCTGCCAACCAAAATTCTGAAAGGAACATAACAGTTTCAGAAGGATATTAATTTGGAGGCTTCAAGTTTCACTTGAAAAAAAACACCACAGAAGTTTGGCACTGAGAAATCAGACACTAACTAGAGAGATACAGGCATCAAGGTCTAAGACTTCAATGTCAGAATTATATTTATAAGCTCAAGATTCAGATATTTGCTCAAAACTGTCAACAGAAAGTAGCCACATACCTCCAACAAAGGCATTTCTTCTGTAATAATGGGATCTAAGCGTCGATCAGGTCCATATTTAATAGACGTTTTTTCCTCTTTTGTGTTATTAAGTCGAGGCCCTTGGATTTCTAAATCTTGTCGTCCTCGTACAGATAACCCATTGGAGACAAACTTTCCTGAAACAATGTTTTTTAAAAGTTTGAGGTTTGTTTTTTAAAGTAATTCCTAACTTTTTTCTGAGAAGTGATCCAAAGCTCCCTACCCAATCATAAAAACCACTTTGATTTTTCTGTTATTGGGCACGTGCAGTGGTCACTGATTAAGCAGCATCCCTGACAGAGAACTACTGAAAGCTCACTGTCACAGAACGCGCTGCTCTGCTGAGTTCAGCCAACCAGTTATTCATTGGTGGGGACTTCTCTGCCCTTTAATAATTCGACTACAACTTGCAGGGTGGGGGAAGAAGGCATGAAGCAGGATTTCCTTTCCCAACTTCTTCCAAGCTGGAAGTTGCCCAAAACATTTTTGTTTCCTTCAAGACTGGCTACCACTCTCCAAATGTTTATTTCAAAGGTTTCCAACTCGTGGATATTTAAGGAAGCTTTGTTACTTCTTTTAGACACTTTCAAACATGTGCTTTAATCCCCATTTCCTCCAACAACTAAATTTTCCCTGTGAGAGACAGTTTCAGATGAATGACTCAACAAAACAGATCAAGTAACATGCAATTCGTAAGCCATTTATATGTTAATATAAAGGAAAGAGAACCAAAATAAAGTCAAGATGCTAAAACAACTGTAGCAGCCAAATTGAAATTTGGGAATCTATGCAAAGAACTTCAGTGCAATGTTTTGACAAAAGCTGAAAGCTAACAAACAGAGCAAAAACACCCAGAAGAAAAATGAATGGCAAGGGGGTTAATGAAAGTTGCTGCAGATTAAACATGGCATCGGTGGAATATTTAAACTTTGATTTATTTTTTTAATGGTTTCAGAATTTCTACAGATTTAAAAGGAACAAGTAGTATGGGTTTGGCAGAGGTTACTTCCTTTCTCATGGGATTCCTAAAGGTGCCAATCTGTTCTTTTCCTGATCCAGTTGTTGCCCTTGTTTCTATGTCCTCGCATCATTATAGTCAAACATTAAACACTAAAATTTAGTTCTACCCTACAGAAGCCATGTCTCCCCTTTCCAGAGTCACACAACTTAAGGGAATAATACACTTACCTGTCTGTAATCCAATAGAAGGATCTATCCCATCTAATGTCACAGCACCCTGAACAGTGCCAAGATTATAAACGACTCCCAGAATATGTAGCTCCCCTGTTTGATGGGGAAAGAGCTTTAGTCTTGCCTGTGGAGATACGTTAAATTTTTGTTGTTGTTGCTACTAGAAAAAAAAAGTATTATTACATTTAAATGTCCGATTGCTAAAGACACTCACAGCTATGTTACTTTATAGTCGTGTCAGACAACCGCATACAGTAACTACAGGTCATTTACTGGATTCAAAGTTTCATATACACAGAATTTACCAAACCAGTCCACAGCTGAGAGATGCTCATTACATCGGGAAAGAACCCTAAACTGTAACAAAAATGAACTTTAACAGAGGCAGAATCACAGAATGGTCTAAGTTGGAACCTAAGTTGGACCTCTGGAGGTCATCTTGTCCAATTCACCTGCTCGAGTAGGGCCACCTAGAGCCAGCTGCCCAGGACTACGTCCAAATGGCTTTTAATATCTCCAAGGATGAAGACTCCACAGTCTCTCTGGGCAGTGCTCAGTCATCATCCCAGAAAACAAGTGTTTCCTGATGTTCAGATGAAGCCTCCTGTGTTTCAGTTTGTGCCCGCTGCCTCCGCTCCTGTCACACCCTCCCTTCAGGTATTTATACACACTGATGAGATTCAGATGTTCCAGTACTTCACGTGTCAGTAATGTCTTCTGCAAGTTCAGCATTAACTTCAGATCATAACAAGCCTGAACTCCACCTGAAGTTCAACACTGAAAGACTATTTTTAAAACAAAGAACAGTACTTACCACTTTTGTCTCCTCACTATTAATTAAAAATTCTGCTATTGCTTCAGTTCCGATCATATCATCATCGCACGTTCCCTGAAAGAAGAAACAGCTCTTCAGATACTGTCACTCCTAGGCAGAAAAAGCGCCATAAATATTAATTCCCACACCTTTCCTAAAACGTTCAAGGAAAAAGCATACAAATCTCAAACTGCAGACAGGACCAGCAGGTGCTATACACCCAGCTTCTCAGGCTTCCTGAATTAAAGCAGCAGCTAGAGAGCTCAGTAAACACTTACTTGAGAGAAATTTAAGTTTTATCACTATAAATTGGAACCATTCCTAATCAGCTTCATTGATACTCACAAATAGTTATCATACCATTAAAGTAGCAGTTCAGACCAGACAGGAAAGCAGATAGTAATCCTTGCAACTTGTATGAAGCCATAATACTGGCAAACACTTACAACAACTTTAGAGATCACCATGTTCCAAATATTTTTGGCCAGGAAAGCAAGTTATTAAAGAAATTTACTGTAATATCCAGTACTAGAACAGACTAAAACCTTAAAGAAATGAACGTGAGAACAGTCCTTCAGAGAGAAGTTCTGGCAAAATGAGCTGAAGTGTTAAATCAAGCAGTAGTAAGTAGTTCACCTGAAGTGTTCAAAACATTCATTTTTAATACAATAAATTTTCATTTTTCTTCTAATCCCATGTCATACCAGCACAGTTTTTCAGAACACATTTCACTACACACAGCAGCTTGAGTAAGAAAAAGGTATTTGACAATACACCTATCAACATTGCAAGTCACTTCTGCTGGTCAAGGCTGGTGTGACTCAGAAGAGAGGTACCACACAGACACGGGAATGCTGGCAGTGTTTTGCTTTCCATTCAGCTTGACAATGCTCATTACAGTATGTTCGTCAACTTGGCTGCTTTGTGCCCTATGGACCTAGGAAAATTTAAGCAACGCACAGAGCAATTCCATAGATACTTTTCTTTTTGCCCTTTTTTTTAAAAAAAAAATGCTTAAACTAGTTGTTTTCATACTACGGAATTGTGAAGATTGAAGTTAATAACACTGTATTCCATAACTGTAGCTGTCTGGTTTCCACTGAAAAAGGATGAAGGTTTCCTTACCACCTCTTTTGTTTCTCCCTCATGCTTTGCATTGAAGTCTTTAGGTTGAAACTTCCACAGCAACGAGAGGTCAGTCAAAAGCAGCGGGACTTTCAGAGGGTTTCGGAAGGACACTTCTACAGTTATCGGTTCTGTTGGCAAGAAGATCATGACAACAGGCTATGTCCGCCACAACCCGCACGTTCACCCAACTCAAAGCATTCTTGCGCTAACAACTTGCACAAGAACGTTGGTTTAAATCCACAGTAATACAGGAGAGAAGGTACAAATTTCTCTAACTCGCTTTATTTCCAAAGTGTATAAATCTTAACTTTACCTTCTATCACAGCCAGGGGAAATTTGGAGTTATCCGAGTAGCGATTTAAACAGAACTGTGTTGGTTGAAAGTTTGAAGGTATTATTCCTTTATTTATCACAGAAACAACCTGCTCCTCAAGTTCCTTCCACTGTTGTGACGATTCCGAGTCGTACTCCTGATCCAGACTCACGTGCGTAGCTGCCTGCTTTTCACCTAACACGAGCAAGGCAAACAGGAGGTGAGAACAGTGGCGTGCAACAGCTGCAACAGAGCGCTGCACCAGCAGTTTGCTAAGTATTGCTAAAGTATTTGAAGTTCTCAGTCACTGTTATTTGTATGCTGCAATTGATTTAACTCAGTGAGCTGCAGGACATTTTAAAATACACACATGGAAGACAAGGCTAAGGGTAATTTGAGCATACCTCTATTTGCCAATTGCAGAACTGCAAGATTTTAGCATGCTACACGGTACGCTCATCTTACAGATTATTTTTACCTTATGACAGGACTACAGCCCCACAGTACAGCCCTGGTTTATATGAGAATTTCCACTCAGCTTACTCTACATTCAGGAATCAGTGTTTCAAACATTTCATGCAAGAGAAAAAGTTAACTGTAAAACTCATTTCTAGCATTGGCATTAGCATCTGGCATTTGCTAAAGCATCAATAATCCCTTTCATTACAGACTTGCATTGAATCTTTCCACCTATGACAGAGGAAGCCAGCACATCCACATATGGGGATTTCATATTTACACAGGAATTCTGAAAACATCTAGCAAGTAGATCCTAAGCTTAAGCTTTCCTTTTGAAATCTTAAGAAGTTACCTTGTCACATTAGCTTTACATTTTTTAAAATGACACCAACTCTTGCATATACTTTGCTTCCAGAAATAAGGGATTTTATCTGTTTACATAAAATTTTCTAACCTTCTGCTGGTCTTCGATCATGCCCAAAGAAAACACGGGTTGCTGAGCTGTTAATGTACGGTAAAGGAAGCTGTGGTAAGGGACCATCAGGTGACAGCTGGGTCACATTCTGGAGCAGAGGAAAACAGACTGTCAGGCCATTATGCAAATACACCACGTCCACGCTGTACGTTACCGATGACTGAACGACAAGGAAGCCAAACTACACGATCAAACTCAAGTGTCTGAACAGGTGGTATTTTTAAGATTCAATGAAACACTGCAGTGAACTGTTTTGATAGTTTCTTTTGCTTTGACAGTCTGAAGGTATGTGTTTGGGGTTTTTTTTTTCAGTAAGAGTTTAAAGTTTATAATATCTTTATGGAAAAAGGAGAATAAAGACTTTAATCCAGCACTCTAATCACCGTTGTGGCTGCATGGCTGTTACAAGCTTTACTTGACACAAAGCTGGACTCTCTAATCAGAATGCAATAAACCACATTCACTACACCACCACCATTACACCAGACTCTCGCCACAGCCGAGCTGTGGACTCAAACACCAGTCTTGAGTAAGAACCGCCACAACTTCGCAAACACCACAGGAACCCTGCTCACAAGCTTTAAAACACAGGGATCAAGTACACGGCTCCAAGCTGTGTGGTGATATCAGCACCAAACACATCATCATGTACTTTGTATACTACAATCCAGAAGCACCCAAACTTACAGCCAACTCAATGAGTCACTTGATCTATAAAAACCTGTATTAAAGAATAAAATTCACTACAACATGGATGGAGAGTACTTTACAGTACCAGAAAAGGCAACAGAGCTACCTAGTCTTTCTAAACATTTATCATTGAAAGTCTCAACAATCATTATAAATTGATCAAAACAAGACAGATCCACTTCATCTAAAAGACACTGAACTATCACAAGCTGCAATTCAGCCATGACCCTCAAAAGGAAGATTTCATTTTACTGTAATAAAAACACATACAAGGAGTCACACTAATACCCATTAGTGGAAGTAGTGGTAATAAACACACGAGATGCAGCGTATTTGGGGTTTTTTTTGAAGCCTAAAGTAAAAAATTAACACATCAACTAGATAAAAAAAACAACTCTGGAACAAGACACCTATGACGAAATCATTTAATGACTTAATAGAAAGTTACCGGTAATAAAATTACTGATTACTCAAGGAATAAAGACAATGAAAAGTGCTTTACCTTATAAACATAAAGATACTCTCTTAAAAAAGCTCCTTGCTGAGCTGGAGGTTGTTTACTATCGTTGATCAAAATATGCCTGAAGGCAGACACAGCATTGTCAAGCTGACGAAGCGTAAAGGACTGGCGACCAATCGTGAAGTTAATATGGTCTTCTGCAAGAGACCAGCCTTTCCCTTTGTAAACCTGCATGGCTTGACAGTAGCAGCGTAAGGCGTGTTTCTTCTGCAAAAAAACCCAGAAAACCACAAGCTAATCTCTCAAATACTCCCATTAACCACTCATTGCAATATCAGGAAGATCGAACAGGAGGTCAGGAAAGTGAAGGAAGTTTTTACCACCCCTCCCCACAACGCCACGTGCAACGTTTGCAGAACTGCCTCATACATCTGGTCAACATTAATCTAAGCACGAAAGTGTTGGTACCTACGGTAGAGCCTAGCCTGCAGATTAAGTTTGTGCTGTCAAATATTAGTGTAACAGGCAGTAAGCTAAAAAAAATAACATGAGATTACTTTTAAAATCGTGTTCTGTGTTGCTTCAGGACTGACTGCTGAAGTCTACAGAGCTCTACCGCCAGCCTCGGGACGTAAGCCAGATTTAACACCTTTCATTTCACTCTAACTGATCTTTCAGTGTGACACTTCTAGGCCATTGTTGTTCAGACGACACACTTGGGACAAAATCCATGCTTAAGCAAACCAACAAAGCACAGCCCTGCAGTACATACAAGACAAAAATCACCAATGGCATCAGCCACTGGGAGATCGATGCTCTGCTCCCAGTCAGCTCCACAGTTCCTTTCCTGCACACACATCAGGACGTGGGCATTCAACCCCAAGTCCAGAGACTGACCAGCTGCAGAGGCATTCACTGTACAGGCAAGTCTCATCTTCTAAAAACAGGGAACAGCATTCCCTTATTTACAGGAGCAATGGAAGAAATCTAAGGTATGTTCAAACTGGTACGGTGATGGCAGCGGAGGACAAGCAGTAAATCCTTAACATCAGCAGATATTACTGACATTTTAAAACACAGTATTACGGTATGCAGCTGAGCAGCCTGGCTGATGTCTCCTCAGTAGCATTTAATATTTTGGTGCTTCTAAGGATATGAAAAAAACCCAACCTACATTTACTTTACCAATGAAAAAGCATTTCTACAAGAATTGAACACAAACAACAAGAGAGCTGTTACATGAAGATAAGTCCAAGTTTTACAAAATGCATGCACTTCTCCAGGCAAAGGAGTGAGATATAAAAGAATAAGTTATAGAAAACCCCCAATCAATAGCTCCCTGTCAGTACTGTATTGTCATAACTATAGACAGGGAAACTACTGCATGAAGAAAAATCAAGGAGGGAAATAGAAATACTCCTACTATTCTTCACATCTGTGATTTTAAATACAGAAGCCAAGAATACAACAATACTTTGGTCCTTACCAGGATGATAAAAATGAGATTGAGTGAGGTGGGAGAATACCCCCCCAAGGCCACAGGGCTTTGTTTTAAGTAGAATTCTGATGCCTGAGTTCTCCTGTATCATTGATTTGCAATACAAATGTACTTCCATCACAGGTTTGCAGCTCAGCAGTAAGCTGAAGTTGACTGTACTCAA